TAAATATATATATATATATATATATTTATTTAAGGTCACAACCCCTGGTATACCCAAACATGGGAGGAAGTCAACTGCTTCCATTCTCTGTCCATCGGCTTGTCACAAGAGACCATCCAGACAGAAACCCAATATTTTTTACTGTTGCCTTTGTTACGTTTGTGTTATTTATTTATCAGCACAAATATCACACACACACACACACACACACATATATATATAGTTGAACAGAGATTTGAAATTGGTCTTTCCACGTGTGCTGATCAATACTGCAAACCCTTTTATTCTTGTGTATAAACACACTTGCTTGTCTCTAAATGACTTGTCCTCAGCCTACTTTTTCAACCTTACAAACTGTTTGACTAATTCAAAGGCTAAGTTAGCCTGTGACATTTTGCACGAAGTGTTGGAACCAAAAATATTTTTTTCATCAAACCACCCAAGAATGCTCCTTCAGAATCACACATTTATTTTGATATTAGCCTGAAGTCTGTGTGGCCAATTGATACTGAGGTTGCTGACAACAGCATGTGGAGAAATAGAATGAGTACAGTTGTTATTTTTTTTTGCCAAAATCTATTTCCCTTAAATGCTTCTTCATTGTCTGTGTAGAGAGATTTGATAAGTAAATGACTCCAATCAATCTACATGGTGACTATACGTGAAAACTGAGAATCGCAATTAATTCTAAAAATACATTCAAGTTTTCTCACCATTCTGCAAATTATATGGGAGAGTTGTGGCCAATTCTTCCTTGGGTTAAAAAGCTAATTTAATGTTGTATTTCAATTCTTGATATTTGAGGATACAGGCATATATCAGGATCTTGCTCTTTTGTGGCACTTTCTACAAATTGAAGGAAATAATTAGGATTCCTTGGGAAAATAACAACAGAGATTGTGTTAGAATTGGTCCAGGGTCTCAAATAGAAACCCAATCAATATAAATAGATAACTTCTAGGAGAAAATGGGAAACATTAGTATTCATTCTTTGTCATTCTTCATCTTCATATATTTAAAAAAAATAGGTAAGAAAAGAAGAGGAAGTAAAGTTTCTGAGTGATTCTGGGGCATTTTGATGTAGACGTGAATGCCTCTGAGTTTGATAGGATTTACTCCTAACTAAATGGGTATAGAATTGCAACTTCATTTTTATAAGAGTGTTTTGTATCATTGCACGATACTCACATAGGTTGTATTGTATTGTATTCTGCCTATACCCTTATAACATTGAATTTCATAAGCACCGAGCAGTTCAGTCAGCAAAAATGAATGATCAATTCTCAGTAAAAAAAAAAAAATACTGCATCAAGTATGGGGAAAGAAACCAAATTGCCTTTGCAGAGAAAAAGATCTAGATGGGAAAATCCTGGCTGCATTTTGTGCATGTGTGTGTGTATGTGTGTGTATGTCTGCATGTTAAAAGGATATTGCACTCTCTTATTGCACTCTCCATCCACTGTTCAAGACAGACAAAAATTGGCTTTTTATCTAACACACTAAGGATGTTTGTCCCATCTCTACTGTGGCTGTTCTGGATTCAGCCAGTTGATGAACTGTTATTACCATGTGACATTTGACTAAATGTGCTGCAGAGGTCACCTTCCACTAACCATCACTATAGACCAGATTCCTCTTCCTCACTCTTTGCCTCTCCCTCCTTTCCTCCTTCCTTCCTCCCTCCCTCCCTCTAATGTTCTCTAATTCATCTAAAGATCAGCTCCAACTGATATGTTCTAGAAAGCAAGTGAAAGACCACCAAGACAGTGGCAGAAGCAGGCTGCATGTGAGACGGTGTGATGGTAGGGATAGTAGTAGTGTTGACCGCTGCTGCTGAATTTGCTCCCAACTACAGGCTACCCACTGTACACCCATCTTTTTCTTGTTGTCCCTACAGGAAGACCATAAGGGTTAAAATAGTAGATGAGGAAGAATACGAAAGGCAGGAGACTTTCTTCATTGTCCTTGGTGAACCGAAATGGATGGAACGAGGAATATCAGGTGTGAGATCCTTTTTTTGAAAAAAGAAACCAAGCAAATGCAGACTGCAAAAACAACCTTTTTTGCTCCGCCTTTTCCTCTTTGATTTTTACACAGACCAAGTTTTATTCTTTTCCCTCCTATATCCTCGCTCTCACCCTGTTTCGGTCCCATCTCTGCATTTTTGAGCTTAGCTTAAGATCCTCCTTTTGTGCAGTGCTCGTGGCTTACAAGCTGTTTGAACTTCCATGTGTTTGGATCCTTCCCTTTCTCTTTGCTCTCCTTTTTCCCCCTGTGTTCCTTTTGGTCATATTTTTGATGTAATCTTGTCTCCTTTTCTTATCTCAAGATGGAAAGTCCTTTTCTCAGACGAATGTGTTAAACTGCATGGCTTCCTCTTCAGCTTGCTCCCCAATTCTGAACTTTGCACAATGATCCCTGTCTTTTTTTATTCTCTTCATTAATTACAGCTTTATAATTAATATTACAAAGCTACTGATTATTTTTATATAAATATATATGGATATAGACATGTACATATTGGAGTCAGATTTAACAAGTGCTGCCAACAGAAACAGCCAAGAATGTTTGCAATTAATTCCCTGCCAATATATATATATATATCTCTAAATAGACCAAAATACTTTATAATACAACTTTATAGAACTCATGTTAGGAAGTACTTCCTCAGAGTTTCAGCAATGACATACAGGGTCTAGGACAAGTCACCCTGGCCATCTCATCCCAACCAACTCGCCCTGGGTGACTCACTGAAGAACAACTCACCATGGCCAACTCACCATGGATAATTCAACCCAGGACTCAGCTCAAGTCAAGAAAAGGGCAAGTGAATTGTAGCAGACCTTGTCTTGCTTAAGGTTTGAACCTTCTCAAGTTAGACCTCCTCAAGGCTGGAGTGAGCTGCAATTCTACTTGTCCCTCTCTTCAGTTATCCCACACTGAAGTTGTCCCACTGTGAATCAAGTTGTCCCACAGTGAATTGGCTGCAGTGAGTTGGCCAGGTGAGTCAGCTATGGCAAGACAGCCTAGATGAGTTTTCCCATTTCGGACATACAGGCATATCAGCAGCAAAGAACTTCCAAGTTGGAACTCAAAGCATGCTTGGAGGGAATCTATTTTAACTTGCTGCCTTCCAAATGTGCTGAACCACTCACTAGAAGGCCCTGTGCTGGCTGCAAATTCTAGCAGTCTGATATATTTGGAGGACCACAAACCTGGAGAAATCTGCCTTCAGCTGCTTTTGCTGAGTTTGTTAACCCACTTGTGGATCCTAGAGATTTTGTGTCTGACCTTGCATGTTTCAAGAATCTTTACACAACAGTTCTTCTCTCTAATGGGTCGCATTAACAAAGATCTAGTGGATTTCCATATATTTTGTATTCTTCTTCACAAAATGTGAACAAATAAAGCTCATTAAAAAGATGCTTATAACAATGCTTATAAATTAAATGTAGATCAGTAAAGAATGCCTCATAATATACAGTGTACAAAATATTTCAGATTATTTAGTTTTTCTATTTTAGTTTTTCATGGAAAATGGTATAACACTGATACTTCAGAACTATGGAGCTAAAACTCTTGGAAACAAAGAAATAACAGCTCTTAA